GCAAGAAAAAACTTCCTAAGAGCAAGAGGAACAAACCTTGAGAAGAACTAAGACTTAAGGAGAATCTATCCTCTACCAGGATGGTGCGAAATACAGGGGATCCTAGCAGGTCTGGAACCCCCTAATTAACTTCTTGGACCCCCTGAATGTCTCAAAATTCCAATTCTGGGGTTCCCTGAAAATAAACTTATTATGACGTTATGCAGCGCGTTAGGATAAAATAGAGACTCAAGTGTAAATTCAGGGAAAGATCATTGTAGCTTCTGTCTATGGTATTCTTAACTACCTAGAGATGCAGCACTGGTCTGCCTCAGGGTGGTGTTGCAGCAAATTGGTTCATCCAGTTAGACCTACCAACTGTAACATTGCCCAGGATACCTCTGAAAAGCTTTACAGTATAATGTAGCACAGGTGGAAAGAGTGAATTATTACTCATTTCTCAAACTGGAGACACTAGAGGTGTGAGTAAGATCTCAGTTAACGAGCGGTGCATTACCAAACTAGAAAAGAGCTTTTTCAAAAGAAGAAACCAGTCACTCATCATCTGTATGGAGCCTATTTCAGCACTGATTGGTCAGAAGGCTGGAAACACCCTGGACAGGTCACCAGTCAATCACAGGGCAGACATCCACATTCACACCAAAGAGCAATTTAGTATCTCCAACCAGCCTGCATGTCTTTGGACTCTAGGAGGAGACCAAAACACCTGGAGGAAACCCACGCAGACACGGGAAGAACATACGAACTCCATACAGAAAGGACTCGGAATCAAACCCAGGCCCTTCTTGCTGTGAGGTGACAGCGCTACCCACTGCACCACCCCATGAAAGAACTGTTAAACCAAATATTTTGTTGCCCCTGAAGCTAGCATCAGTATCAATACGTCGACTGAGTTAGCAGCCAGCCAACGCTGGAATAGCCAGACAACATGGGACTCCTCAAACACCAAGGGGTATTTTTAACACTGGACACCAGATAGCAAACCATAACACAACAAGAGCATAAGAGTTGTGAAGTCATGAATGAGGAAATGACTAAGCAATATACAATAATGAATAATGAAAAAAAAGTAACAAAATGAGCCAAATCAATGCCATTATTATATTAACCAATGCCCCTCGGAGTTTGTCTCAAAGAAATGAGAATGAAAATGAAATCCATGTTTTCCAGGACGACATGTTAGTATGAACTGGTGAGGAACTGAGTATAGAGTGAGCAAGGTGTAGTATGTCTATGAATGAGCTTTAGTTGAAGTCTGTGCAAAGTTCAGCCAACAGCAGCCCAAACAGTCCAGAGAAGGGGAAAGGCCAGAGCACACACACCCCAACAAACACCAGCATCCAAATGTTGGTTTAGAATGTTTAGAAAAAGAACAGATGAATCAGCATGAATGGAGAAGAGTGTTCTAGAACAGTGAGAATGATGGAGAACATTCTGGAGAGCCCTGGACATTTGGGTTTACCGGTGTTTTCTGAGTTGGTGTGCTCTGATAACTGTCAAAACAGATTAGGTCAATGACCGTACAGAAAACATGGCCTACTTCAGGTAAGAACTGCTAATGTTTTGACAAACTAGCCACTGGGGATGCACATCTGAGTCGGCCAAGATTGGAATCAGCAATTTTTGCTCAAAACAAGATCAGCAATGGGCCAATTTATTATTTTGGCAGATCAAATTTTAAATTTGGCCCATTAAAGAGCAAACAATGTTGTTTATATTGCAAGTTTGGCAAATATGTTAGCACCTTTCACGCTTTGTATTAAAAAAAGGCTAATAGCTAAAAATCAGCTAAAAATTTGTCCATCAGCCACCCCTTCTTACACTCAGGTTGTGAATGGTCAGTTTGGTTCACATGGATGCAGTTTTCACAAACTCTCTAGTGATGAGGGCATTTATCCACTGATACCATTCGGAGCCGGGACATATACCACTAGCTACTTTCTTCAAAGTGATGTCAAATCAGGCAAAGGTTACTAACCAGATGATGTTATGAAAGACACATTCAGGCAAGTCTGACCTACAGTGAACTTCATCTTGTTTGAATCTTTCAGGGCTCCTACAGGCAAAAGCTAGTAGCAACAGCAATAAGTCACCCTAGCTTTCAATGGCATACGTATACAAGAGATGCTGCACAGCCTCACACAGCACTGACAGCAGAGTGAGAGTCACTCACTACAACGAGAATAAAGCCGAGCTCTTACCCGAGCAGAAGCAGCACAGCTCCGGTCTTCTAGTATTCCTTCGTCCGTCCTGTATTTGTTTTGTCCGAGAATGTAAGGCGCGGGCGAGTCCGTCACGCTGCCAGTCCCTCCATGAGTCAGTGCTGAGGAGCTGAACTTTGCTCTCAGAGTGACAGCAGTAGCCAAGGAGACGCGCGGCGCCTCGAGCGCTCAGAGAACACAGAGAGGAGTGAGAGGGCGCGAGGTCGCACCAGCAGGTGTGTGGACAGGTTAGGGTGTGTGTGTGTGTGTGTGTGTGTCTATGTGTGTGTGTGTGTGTGTGTGTGTGTGTGTGTGTGGGCTCGCGCGAAGGAGGCGGGTCCTACTGACAGGTGACAGACGGGGAGAGTAACTGGAGCCGCGTCGCGAGAGGGGGGCGGAGCTTCGTTTCACAACGGGACAACATTTGGGAAAGACAGAACGAGCCATATCACCACATTATATAACAACCAAGTCCTCAGCTCTGCATGGAAGAGGTTCACCTTTGAACCTTTGGGTTTTTATCATTTCAGGACAGGAAGAAATAATTAGATTGGTTTGACAAAACCAACTATTCTTTATTATTCTACACTTTTTTGTTTTCTTCACTCTTAAAAAGATGGTTCTTCAAGGGTTCTTTAGTAAAGGCAATTGTTTTATTTACGACCATGAGCACCGAAAAGGCTTCTGTTATAGTTATGATGTCAAGCTTGTAACAATAGAAGAGCCCTTTTTAGTGCTATGTAGAGCCCTTATCAAAGGTTCTGTATAGAACCTTATACAACAATCTGAAGAACCATTTCACCATGCAAAAAACATTTAAGCATGCAAATAGATCTATATAGAACTAATGGTTCTAAATAGAATTGTTGCATTCACTAAAGAACTCTTGGAGAACTCATACTTGGGGGTGTGTAGAACCTTTTGAACTAGAACCGCAAAACTTTGTAGAGCCTATACAGCATATATTGCTCTGGTGCTTTGGGAACTGACTGCACGTACGGTTTTCATACAGCATTTGTTTAAACACAGTTTTTCCTTACAGGAAGTGAATGGCATAATGTTGAGACAATTCAAATCCAACTGCCACAAATGATGTCACTCACACGGACCCTCACAGGCATTACATACAGACTCACATACATACTGGCACATATGTGTACACACAAATATGAACAACTACCTGGGATACCATAACAGCACCTCAGCAAGTACCTGGGACAACATAGCCACAGCCTAGCCGAACCCTAGCAAAAGACACATAGCAACGGCTTTGTCAAGCCAACCTAAAGTTCTTTCACAAACTTTCCCTTGTAGTTGCTAATGAAATTTAAAACTGTATTGATAGTTTGCTGTCTTCTGTGGAAGACACTGTCTGTCTATTCATTGGTCAGTTCACCTTAACAAGGCACGGTATTAAACCCTATTCTGCTGCGACTTTTAAAAAATTGCAAATATAAATTGTTTCAGAAATCTGATTTTAATTCATAATTCTCTCTGGTAGGGTAGAAATTGTGGTACTCTCTCTGGCGAAATCTACGCTCACTGTTTGTGATTACTGTGCCTTTTTGGACTGCACCAAAGCTGCTAAGAGTGACAGCAGAGCAAAAGCATCTGAGCCCCGGCCTCCTACTTCATTATGTGAATGCTCCAGTATTCTCTCATCACATACACACACCAATACAAGCACAATGTGCTCTGAAGTTTTACTAAATTACATGAAACTGCAGATATGTGTGCTTTAATGCTTTAGCAGATCATTAACTTCACCAGCCATGAGTAAGAGATCACTTCAGAGGTCACAGACATCAAAAACTCTGACTTTCTCAGTGTTTACTGTAGGTCTTAAGTATACTTGCAAGAAGTGGCTGGGGTTGTTTTTCAAATATATACAGTAATCCAAACTCACCTCAGTATTCTTTCTACTAAATTGGGTATTCAAATAAAGCATGCATGGTTTGGAATAAATAAATAAATATTTTGTGTTATCTGGTAATTTTGTAATGTATTTTTTTTTCTGAGTGTTCTGCAGTGCTTTTTGGAAATTGCTGAAATTGCACAAAATATATTTGGACAGCTGTCAATATACTTTGGGGGGGTCAAAGTCCCAAGTATACCCAATGTCTGGTTAACACTGCTTTCTCTTTACAGTGTAAAGTTTTGGTTTACAAAGCTTATATCAGTAAATTGGTCATTATAAATACTTAAAACTATAAGACTATAACATTTTGTAACAATGTCACAAATTCAGCTTCAAGCTCATTGTCAGCTCATGATGTAAACTGAACTACTGCAGCACTGAACAGGTGCAGACTTATTTGCATGAGGGTTTGTTTCTATTGCCTTTGAATGAAGTTAGTGTAGCCATAACCCTGAACATCTCTTGGTGTAAATTCTCTTATTACCCAAACTGATTAATGTGATTCACACAGCAGAAAGGCCTCAGCAACACATCCTCATTACACACTCTTTATTCACAGAAACACACACCCTCTACTGGAGAACATCAGAAAAATTAAACCAACCATTTAAAAACTTCAGTCTTACATAAACAATGTAACTACGTCTGTACCACATATGTAACTAGACTGTGTGGGTGTGTATGTGTAGATTGCTCAAAGGGGCAAAGCTGGAAGTGATTTAATAAGTTGGATTTAACATATTTGAACAAAAACATAAAAGGTGACCTGTACAAAAGTTATGGCACATTTCCAATGTTAAACTCAGCAAATAAACAGAAACTGTGCACTAAAATTTACAGATTTTAAAAAACAAGTTTGTTTTCTGTGGAGGATGTGTATGTTTTTGTTCACTTACAAAATGAACAAAACATGTAATTTAACTGGGGGGTGTTTAAACATTTGCATATGTCTGTAAACAACAGAAAATCATCACAGTTCTGAGGAAAACATTTAGAGCCACTGAAAATGATCTTTACAGTTATACCTTTTATTGTTTCCAAACTGGCTTGTCCCAAGTCCTATCATGTCTTGCCACATTTGTAAAAATACTACACAAATAATAAGAAAACACAATGAGATTCCAGTAGTTCCACTTGCCATCTAGTGGGCTTTTCCAGCCCTTATAACTAAATTATAACTAATTCCTCTGAAACAGTTCAAATCATCTAACTATAATGATTACAAAATGTAGTTTATTGCATAGCAATTGATCAATTCAGACCACTTCATCTTGCTTCACACTGATGCTGGTTGGGCAGCTACAGGATGTGCAGAGGAGCAGTCATGCATTATGGAATCTGTAGTCCATAAGTCACAGGAAGTGTAGCCAAGGGTAAAAACCCAGTGTCTCATGAATAAGCACTGAAAGACACAAGGGAGAACGCAAAGTTAACAAACGTGATACATTCACTATCTGTGTCAAATATCTTGATGCGAATTTGTGTCTGTATTCATGAACCATGTAAAAATAGGAACGCTGACCTAGAATCACTATGACCATCTTAAGTATGGTGAAATCTGATCAGAGTTCAGATTCAAATTTCAACTAAAATTGAGTCATTATGTCTCAGTACCTGTAGAAGAGTGTAACTATTTCTCTTGAAATGTTTGAAATCTAATTTGACAAAAATAACTTCATCCTACAGCATCACATAATAGCCAGATCAGTCTTCTCTTCAAAGCTACGCACAGTTTAGTTAGTTAGTTAGTTTTTCCTACTATAACACACCTGGTTAAGGCAATTAAAAGTTTCTTATTTAGCTGATTTTTGGCTTTTTAGTCTTAGAGCAAAGCAAACTCTACTTTATGTACCTTAGCCAGGTTCTATTCAAAGAAAGGTTAACAAGGGCACCATAACCCACAAACAAACAATAAGATGTAAGGACTTGCTCTGAAACGTCTCCCACATAAACCCATTTTGCTGCTGAGCATCTCAGATAACACTGACTGGTATAGCAGCAAATACTGTCTTTGGCAGCTGAGACCGCCTGGCATCTTCATTTAAATTCACATCAATATTTAAGCATCAACAGCTCTTACAGCTCTTTAGACTTGAGTGTCCTAAAGAGTCCTAAGATGAGATAAGGGCAACAGATCACAATAGCACAACTGCTTTGCTAAAAAAAAAAACACGACCAACAAAAATACATGCAAAATGGATCTACGCAACATACTGAGCAGTTCATACTGAGCAGTTCAAAATGTTAACAACAGAAAAGATTAGACTCAATTATAGGCCATATGAACACATGTAGCACTTTTTACAATGAGCTTTGTCACAAAACAGCTTTACAGAAAACCCAGGTCTAAGCCCCAAATGAGCAATCCAAGGGCAATAGTGGTTTACACTCAGTATAGTGTGAGGCAGATAAACAATGTAACAACAATGTAAGATATAAAAGTTCTAGTTAAGGGTCTGTGTAGGCACTAGTTGAAGCTTTCTGCACAGCAGGACAGACATGCAGCAACATCACCAACTAATTAACTATACACATACATGCTTTGAACAGCACTTGAAAAGATTATAACAGATTTTCAGTCTGGCAAAGAATGCTGGGGACATGCAACCTAAATGAAATCTCCAGACCATGAGAAGGACAGGTTTGCTCACAAGGGTGCTAGCTTGTTGATTCTGCCAGTCCCTACATTATGGACCAGACCCAGTTTAGAATACTGAGCTGGCTGATGTAACCTGAAATGTACTGCAAAATGGTAATATTACCAAATGCAGACGGCATAGATGGCATATAACACTGTTAACACATTGGTTCTCTTCATTTGTCTGGGTGTGAACTAAAACACTGCCAAACTGGCACAAATGATTAAGTAATATCAGAAGCTAGGTAAGATGGTAAGTATACACTTAGTTTAACATCAGGCAAAATGCAAACTACAGGTTAGGGCTCTGTAACACTCCTATGTGGTATTTCATGAGTGAATTTGGATCACAATTGCATCATTTATTGTAATAATTCTTTAGACAATAAACATTCATTCAAATTTTCATTATCATCCAGTCTTAGTATTACATAAACAATCTTAAATATATGTATTTAAATTTTACACTGTGAGCCCCCTACTGTTTAAAACTCTTTAAAAGCAACCTCTTCAGCTCTGAATTTGGCCTGTTTCTAAAAAAAATGCACATATTTGTCACTATCATCTATTTATACTATTAATCCATTTAGCTTTTCTGAGGCCAGATTACAATAGTAATTATAGCAGGAATGTTTCTTTATTTTAAACCTTATAAACACAAAATAAAAAGGTTGTTGCTGTAACAGAGTCTGGCTACTGGGAGTGGGTTCTATGCTGTCATGCCCTACACAAAAGCATCTTTAATGAGTCCAGAGACAAAGCAGTAGACACACGAAAAGCCGTGCTCTCACATAAGGCTGCAGATAAAGTGACAAGACCAGTGAATGAAAAGCATATTAATAATTCAAACCCAAAGACTGATGTACAGAAAATGAGCTGATTTCATTCATGCTCAAAAACAAAGGGATGAAAAGAACGGCTGGTGAAAAGAGAGACACAATCTGAGTGAAGAAAAATCAGGTTATCATCAATGTGATACTTATATCTGACCTTTCAATGTTTGCCATATGAAAGCTGAGTGCACTGAGTAAGAACCATTAAAACATGTAAAACATGTGTTGCTTTACTCAGGTTACAGTACACAGAGATTATATTAATACAGTAAGTGTAGATCAATGGTTCCCAACCTTTTTAACAATGCAGAATAAACCACAGGGATCAGAGACGGAAGGGAGTTTGGGGCACAAATGATTGCTTGAGATATATGTGTTATGCCAAATGGTGAAGTACTCTGTGGGCTTCTCCCCACGATTTGAATTTGGGGCACTAGTATCCCTATTAGCAGTGAACTTGTAGTTAATATAGTTCATATTTTCATGTCATCATATTTTCGTATTATATTTTTGTTTATCTTGGCATTATTTCCATTTTTGCCGTTGATTAGGTTTTTTTTGGCCCTGTACTAAACAACCCATGGCCCGGTACCAGTGCACAGCCCAACAGTGGGGAACTACATGAATAATACTGACTCTGAAACTGTTTAAGCTACTCTTAATAATACACAGTTAATCTGAGAATAACTGAGTTTCATATCATTTCTTTACTATTTGTAGTCTCGATAAACATAAACTGGGCTCCACAGTGAGGTCTGGAGTCAGTAGCACTTTTACTGTTAAAGTGAGGAGGAGTTTCTTACTTACTCTTGGAGTAAAATGCAGTCAGCATTTCTGCAACTATATGATTCACTACAAGAAAGTAAAAGACACTTTCGTCGATTCCAAAACAGCTGCTTGGTGCCAAATGCTTTGTGAAAAGGAAGGCCAGCTATGACTTCTGTAAAGCTGAGTTGTTTGTTTAGATGTTACAAAGCTCTTAAAATGGAATTAAACTATATTAAAAGGAACTGGATATAATGTACATCCATTGTCATTTTTTGCCTTCTTTTTAATTAATCTTTTTAGTTTATTAATTTTTTTTATTGATTTTGATATTTGCATATTTGAGAGGAGGAGTCTTCTTCAAAAGTCCTCTTGCTGGCAGCACCCCCATTTACCAAAGTTCAAAAACATTTTAAATCTATATTAATGGTCTCTTTGTCATTCAAAACAGTGACTCCTGTTGAAAGGCGATGGGCTTAGAGGGATGAATATCTCATCTTGCACAATCCATACAAAACTCTTACCATGTTGCATGCAATTACAACATCAATCCTAACTTTCCAATTCCTCCCAACTTTCAAACCTTGAACTCTGACCTGGTGAAGCGAGCGAGGGCTCCAAAGCCAACAACTCCAGTGAGGCCGTAGAGACAGAGCAGGATGCTGTTAATGATGACGTCAGCTCTCAGCACGTACGACTGCCACACCAGGAAATACACTGCCAACAGCAGTGTGGTTCCTGTGATGATGAGGTTGGCACCTACATATTTCTCACTCTCCTGCAGGTTGCCTCTCACTCCTACCACAGGCAGAGATACACAAGATACGCATGATATAGAAGATGCACTACATACAGGGATAAATCAACATGTATTTTTCAGGTTAGGCGGCTCTGATGGCCCTAAATTACCCCAGTAGACTCTGATGATATCCAGGGCAGCCATAAGCAGGAGCAAACAGACATCCAGAGCCAAATCACTATCAGGGTAACTCAGCACCTGGCCTGCAACACACAACACACATTACCCATTCTCATTCAACTGAAGTGAATGATGTGTCACAGCAATTACTTCATTACATATTCAGTAAAGTACTCACTTTTGTAGATGATCAGGCAGAGGCTGGCGAGGTAGTAGAACAAATTATAGAATGCAGAGAGGCAGAGCAGGATTTGGAGGAGCACAGAGGACAGCTACAGCAGCAGGTTAAGGTAAAGAGCATTTCATTTCATTTTTAATACAGTATTATTAACACACTAGCAAATAAGATTCATTCAGTTCGTCTGCAAAAATATCCCATGTTTACATACTTGTCCCACTGCCCTCATTACCTCAAGAAGAAGGTTGCTATTTGAGCCTACTGACATAAAGCACAGCCTAATTCATTGCATGTCTTTATCCCAAACATTAATATTGCATAAACTGTGTTAATAGCTCCCACGTCATGGGTACAGCCTTGCTCACACAATGCTAGTTTGAATAGCATACATTAGAAAAAGGATACAACACTGGCATTTCTGCCTGACGAAAAGTAAAATGAAGGCAGAGAGATTACATATTACTTTTATATTTCGTTATACCATCATATATTATTACATTCTCATCATGCAAAAGAATTGAAGGGGTTATACAAAGGACAACTAATGTAAGATACATGAAGATATGGTAACGTATGCTAAGTATTCCGTGTAGGTTATATGTATTTGATACAAGCAACAGACGAAGACGGTTTAATGGAAACAGGAGTAAATTAGACTAGAGCTAACTTAACTGAACAACCGAGGAGTCAGTAGCTGAATTACAGCCCAGGTCTAACCAAGTACAGTGTAGCTAAGTTACTCCAGCCTGCTCACTAGAAGATGAGAGGCACTTACGAACCAGTTCCCTGTATTGCGCTGGAACTAATATAACTGACCACCTATCCCTCCAAACGGAAACCTGATGTTAACTTTAGTACCTAATCTAGGTTACATTTTTCTTTGTGTCTCTCTAAAGTGCGCGTTATAACCGTCTCTATGGCAACGGCGAGGCTTACCCGCTCTCCCTATCGCCATGTTGGTTCTGCGGTCCTTCTGTTTCAGAGCGTTATTTTAATCTGTTTAAGAGTCTTTACCGCCACCTAGTGAGGAGGAGTGAGAGAAAAGCGCGAGTTCGTTCAGGCTTTGACTACTGCAGAAAAGAATCTTTAATTAATAATATAACATGTTAATAAATAAAAATGAAAATGAAACAATATTATAATATTTATTATGCTCTATTAAAACCTAAAAAAAGAAAATTAGACAATCAAACACACTCTCTCTCTTTCTCTCTCTCTCTCTCTCTCTCTCTCTCTCTCTCTCTCTCTCTCTCTCCTCTCTCCCTCTCTCTCTCTCTCTCTCTCTCTCTCTCGCACACACTTTTAAAGGGCCCATTTCCTACGTTACACTTGCATTTTATTTTTTTCCCTGGGGTCCACTTATCTATTTGTGCAGATTCATGTACGAAAAACAGCCTTCGTTCATACTTACATGACCGTTTTCAACCTCACTTTACCCTTCAGAATTAAAGGTGCAGTGCGTAAGATTTAGTGGCACCTAGCAGTGAATACACCTCGCTTTCCTAGCATGTAGTAGAATTTATGGTGGCCATCGGGTTTTATACCGCTGCCTGTCTCGATTTCGTTTAGCTTCTTCATGTTTTCACTTCTTTGCCGACGAGGATTCACCCTCCCTCGCTTTTTCTTGTGCTAAATAATTAGTATGAGCCATTTGTCAATGGTTAGTTGTGTATACTGTATTCCATTTCTGCTAATAGATCCCCCTAAATCTTACACACTGCACCTTTAAACAGGCTGTATTTGTTACTGCTTTTAAGACTGATATATGTAAATGAGCTCTGTTCTCATTGGCTCTCCTGTAATATGCCTCATCCAAAAAATATTCTAGGTGTCTCATTTCAACATGAACGGATGGGGCTGAGCTGCTGTAGACTGAAGCAGCGAATTCATGTAAATACATTGTTTTTTTGTGACATCACAAAAACAGTCTATTTAAAACAGGCTGTTTTGCAGCTTAGTTTCCATAAATGGACCAGATGAACTACATAGGGAATGATACATATAGAAACTTTGACAATGCTGACGTATGGCAAACTCTACATAGAACCAGCAGTGAAAATTCATTTTTTGGTGATAGGGGCCCTTTAATTGGTTGGAATGCAGGGTGAGATAAATGTGTCAGAATGCTGTGAGGAAGCACACCTGTTTTGTAAGAGAGAGAGAGAGAGAGAGAGACAGAGAGAGAGAGAGAGAGGAATTTGTGCAGTGGAGCCCTCAGCCCCTCTCCGTCTGCTTCTCACATCATGGAGACACATGCTCATTGTCAACAACAAACTCAGACTGTCCAATATGTGTATGGGTCAGTGTGCACGATGAGAGCAATGCACAGAATGAAGTATTTGTAAGCTAATGACCAGATAGAACATCTTTTTACCAATCATATGTGTAACTGTATCATTTAAATGTTTTGTTGGGTTCTATAGTTTATTAGGCTCCTTTCTCTTCACCAGGGAGGGGGGGATGTTTTGTCATTGGGGCCAAAAAACATAATGACAAAACAGTATACAAATGGCTAGATGGTAGGTAGTATAGGAAGGTAGGTAGATTTCAAGATACTAAAGTATTTCATAATGTTACAGTATATTTTGTTACTTTATAATATGCAAAATTAGAATTTAATGAATTATAAACAAAAATACATATTCTAGTTAAAAATGTACATATATGAAAGAAAAATAAAAAGTAAATAAAAAACAGTTTGTTTCCTCATTGAATGAGAAGGGTGGGGTTAGGAAATCTTTGGCAGGCCAAATCAAGTATTCTTACAAACTTTGGCGTGTTGGAGACACTTCAGGCAGCCCTGCTCTTAACTATTTAAAGTGCTTGCTTACTTCTGCAAATGATAGTTGCATGTCACTGTAGTCTTGACTACAGCCATAAACCTGCATTATAGTTCCACATTGTAGTAGCAGAGTTTTTTCTCTGAGGAATAATTAGAATTCAGTGTTTTCTATCAAGACAAACTTTTAAAATACTCTGAAACACACACTCACATAGAAAAATATACGGTTTTATTGTAAAGCCCTAACAGTACAGGGTCACTCCAACAGTAGGCCTATAGAATCACATGTGCACAGATGTACATACATTGGATATACACACAGAGAGATGAAGTGCATTAACATGGCCAGATGTTTCATTGTCCACCAAGGCCTCAATTCCTTTTTTTCTTGCCTGCGTCCTTCCAAACAATCTACACTGTGTCAAGCAAAGAACAGGCGCGTTGTTCAGGTCGAACAGAGGAGAGGGAAGGAGAGAGAGAAAGAGAGAGAGAGAGAGAGAGAGAGAGAGAGAGAGAGACAGAGAGAGAGACAGAGAGAGAGAGAGAGAGATGCTCCAGCTGTGAGGATAAAGACAACAAAACAGCATCTCATAAGTGGGGGGGAGATGGCACACAGCACTATTGTGTGTAAAGAGGTCGCAGATAAAGAGAGGAGAAACAGATCATTCAGCTCATACAGTATTCACTGCAGGCATCTTACACCTCATCCATTCACAATCCCTCACCAAACTCCCTCACTCTCACAAAATACAACACCTACAGAAACCACCACAGCATTTAGCTCATACGTTTCATATGGGGTCACATTTTTATGACAGAGACACCCCACCCACACACACAGTGAAAAAAACATCAACCCCAAAAAACACTGTGTGCTAGAATGATTTAAAAGTGTCAGTAGATTGAGCATGAATCAATACTCACATCAACACAGTTGCTTTCTTTCAGTTTTTCAGTTTACTTCTTTAGACCAGAAAGAAGCTGATGTAACATATTTTATTCACGCACTACTGTCTGCCACATCTGAATCATGTCAATTTAAAGCACTATTTTATTTCAGCGTGTTGTTGTTTTATCTGTAGTGCGTTTTTATTCATGATGTGTGCTGTACTGTATTCCTTTAAAGTGCGCCAAATTAAATGCAGAAATAAAAGTGATGCCAAAACTTTCGAAGCATGGCATGTTAGCACTGGTGCTAAAATATGGGCTGAATATTAAGTGTAAACCTATTATGATGATTTACTAACTCTGACTCGTAATAATTCTCAATACTTCACTGAAATATTTATCTTATTTAGTTCTCAAAGTGGTAAAAACACATCAAATTTGATGTAGGGGTCGGCAATATGACAATATTTTATTGTTATTGTGTTATTGTATCTGTTTAGTTTTTAAAATGTTGGCTATGCTTTATGTCACAATATGCTTTTCTGAGTATGTGGATCTTGACAATACTTAAATGTTTCACTACAAAGTGAGCATAATAATAACAATAATAATAATGATAATAATAATTAGTATTATTATTAGTAGTAGTCGTAGTAGTATAATTATTATTATTATTATTATTATTATTATTATTATTATTTTATTATTATTATTTTATTATTGTTGTTGTTGTATTTTTTTATATGTGGCACAACAGGTTTTTTTTTCTGTTTCAACTCATTAAATTTCAGAAAACTTGAATATCGTGATGCGTACTGTGTATCGTGAAAATGTGTTCATGATCGCGATATAATATTTTTGCCATATCGCCCACCCCTATTTCAGTGTCCACAGGGATAGTAAACCTGTCTTCACTGTGGTGATTTTGTCACAGTAAATCCAGAGCAAATCTGCGCTCTGAGTTAGCTTAGCTTTCTCATTGATTCACTCTGAATGTGTACATCTTTCTCGCGCGCTCGTATTATTTATTTATTCATTTATTTATTTATTTATTTTTAAATATGTTCTTTTTAAAATAAGGATTTATTATTCGTTGACATTATTTTTTCTCATGTTTTTAGCATGAGGTCAAACATATGTTTGTTCATAGTTTCTTCCTCGTGTTTAGGTGCTTGTAACAGTGTTGGTGAGTTTTGTGTGTCTCTCGCGCATCATCTCTCCTCTCCTCTCCTCTCAGCTCAGCGCTCACACATTGAGGGAGGGAGCTGTAGGTAACGAAGCCACTACTCACAGGTTTTCCTTAAAGCGCGGGAAAAACACTGTCCCTAAAACAGTTCTGGGACAAAATAAACCCGCTCTCCAGTCTAGCGTCCAGTGTTTTTGAGCACCTTTAAACCAGCGAAGTCCTCAGCCTGTTGGATCAGCCGAAACATGCTAACACCTGACGGCGCGAGGCTGAAGCTAACCTGCTGATTTTAACACCACCGCAGAGACGTGGACTAGTTCAGACTGGAATAAACACATTTTATATGATATATAAGTGAACTAAGTGGTGTGGGGAACTCTTGGTGAGTAGTTCTGTGCCCTGTGCTAGTCTGGAGTCTGGGAGGGGGCGGTGGTGGTGCTGGTTGTGAGGGCTGTGAGTCCCTGAGGAGCGGGCTGGCCGACAGAGGAGTTAAACACGGCACACTGGATGAAGGTTTGAGAGGCTGTCGACCCCCCGCCACTTCCACCGGCCGGAGGGAACCGTACATGGAGTTTTTAACCTGGACCCGCTAGGATGGACGTGGTTGATGAAACGGAAGCCTTACAGAGATTTTTTGAAGGTAAGTGTGTTGATTAACTTACAGCACCTTGAATTCGCGAAACCGCGTCTAAAGGCACGACACGTAGTGTTCAACAAGGAAAACGGCTCGGTTGATCTTCACTGCACCTGATTCTGGCTACCTCTTAAAAAAACAGGCATAGAAAAGGAAAAAGAAAGAAAAAAACAGACGCTAATGATACTTCAAGGTTCGTTTTGACGCTTTAACATTTTCGTTACTTTCATTTTCTGATTGATTTCCCTGAATCTGAATTCTGTGGGGCTACAAATGAGTTCAGCACCTAATTTGAAACGCGAGTCAGAGGTTTGACTGGTAAAGGCCTTAAATTCTGTTCATCACTCCTTTTGTTTCTGTGCTCGTGTTAAACCTTCAGCTCTCACAGCGGTGAGACTTTCCATCAGGGCCCTTGACTTTCAGCCTGCACTGCCATAAAAGTGATGGAAGGGGTTTTGCTGGTGTGTGTGAGGGGGGTGTTGTTGTAGGGTGGGGGTTATTGTAGGGTAGCTGGTGTGGAAGTGCTCTGGGGGATTTGGGGGCCCCCGAGTCTGGACAGAAACACAAATGACCAGTGGTGATGCATCCCAGGGAAAGGTTAAGGTGAATGTGTTCCTGGAAGAATAAGGCTAAAGGTAAAAGGTTAGTGCAGAGATGGGTAGCAGAAATGGAGAGATGTTGGAGGAGAGGGACAGAGCAAAGGGAGGGGGAGAGGAGATGGTTATGCTATAGAAATGCACACTCAAAAAAGAGAGAAGACAAATGGTGTGTTTGTTAACTCTGAGGCCACAGGCAAAAGCAGAGAGAGATGATTTGTTTCTAACGTTTTAAAGTAATAAAGAAAATATGACAGAGAAATGGACAAAGACATTTAAAAACAGACACTAAAGTTATGGAGGACATCCGAAACCCTTCTTTCTTTCATGTTTGTAACTTCTACGGTCATGTACCATGTGAGTATACATCTACACGCTGTTGTCTACGGGCTGTTGTTTTATTCCAAGCTATATTGAAGCATTACTGTTGGTTCATTCATCCTGAAAATTTTATACACTGTAAAGGGCACCTGCTGTGCTCGAATGATGTAGAAAAATAAAAGTAGGACAAAAATTGAAGTACATTTTTTTGGGGGGTTTCCTTTTCTTGGACAGCAATGATATGTTCATTACTATAATCAACAGAGTAAAGATGATAATGCTGTGAATGAGGCACCAAAGATACATTGTTCTTGCCAGTTACATCTCTCTTACTTCTCCAGCTCTTTTTTTCAGCCTCTTCATTTTCTTTGCCTGAGGGGTTGTAAATGCAGACCACCCCAATGTTTTAACTCTTCGTTGCAACACACATATCGTCCTTTTTTGGACAAAGGGAATGACGCATGATAACGGGCTTTTTGGTGGATTTAGAGGCATTCCCAGTGATAATGAGTCATACTCAGAGTACAGGTGTGATGGGCTGTTTATTAGATGGTGATCCGCTGTAAACATTGTTGACCAGTTCTGGAGTTCATGGCTGTCAAGTGCTGCTCTTGACTTTAACAGGAATTTCATGTGTTTACATTCCTCCATGGGGAGTGAGAGAGATGCTCAGGCTCTACACTTCACTGCAGCCTCTCAGCATGGCAGGCGTTGGGCAAGCTTAATAGTGAGTCGTGTTGCCTTCAGATTTACCGTAAAACCTGTTCAGTTTCGAATGGTTAATGTGAAACAGTTACCTTAATGATGACCCTGACCTAAACAAGTAATTAAATTAAGGGTGACCCAACTGTTTTTTTACTGTTGAAAGAAAAAGTCGACATCAGTTTTATATTTACAACTGATTAAACTTTACTTTTGCCTTGGTCTAGATAAACCACAACGTCTTCCACGTTTTGTCAGCGTTTATCCACCCCCTGATTTGTCATGGCTGTGCACTGATCTGCATATGTTCCACTTTTAGATTGTGTTTTTTTCATTGAGGTGATGCTAGTGGCTCTGATTTTTTTGGTCCAGTGTGAGGAAAACCAAAGCTGTAGTGTGCTTTGGGTCTAAAATGCATGGTTTACAACCCTGTAGAGCAGGTACTTTTCATAACAGGATATCAGTTGATATTCATTCACAGTTGAACTGGTAATTGTCAAGCCCCTTTTTCCATATTCATGCATATGTGTGTGTGTATGTGTGTCTCTGGGAGAGTGGGCTAGTGTTATTGGAAAGAACTCAGGACAGCCATTGTGGTGTTCTGGCAGACAAAGGACAAAAGAAGGGGTGAAAAGCTGTTTGTTGATAAAACTGATGTGACCACCAGCTGAAAGAGTCTCGATCTCATTTCACACAATGCGAGTGACCAAGTTATTACTCTTTTGTTAATTACTCCCGCACAGATACATTTAAAGCACTATGATAACTAAATGTTATCCAGTTAATTGCTTTGAAATAGTTATTGATTATAAAATGAGATAAGAAAAGAAAAAAAAACTTTTCAAAACTTTTCCTTAAATGCTGTTCAGATTTTTAAGATGTTTGTGCTGGGCACTGAGAGTTAATAATGTAGTTTTTCAACTGTTGGTATACCATAGTATGTAAGACCATTCCCTCAGTGGGACTTAATTCAGTGGGTTTAATTCCACGCTCTGGCAAGAACACCATGTTATACCAATAAGAGTCCTGGGCAAGACTCCTAACGCTACACTAGCTTGCCTTTGTAACATGATGAAACTTTAAGTTGCTCTAGATAAGAGTAATGTAAATATAGTTGTTTTATGCTAAACAGTGCAGGTGCATCATCCTAAATTTGCCCTCAAGCAGAAAAAAAATTCATATTTTTTACATCAGCATCAACCTACTAATACCTGCTAATAATAATGGTGCTGATTAATGTGTATTGTTCCTGTTAAATAAATAAATCAAGAAAAGTAATATAACTTCTGCCTTGACTGTAATATGTGCACCTGTGTGGAGCTGGACTGAACAAAACTCTCTAGAAACTCAAATTAATAACAGCCCAAAACTGTTGAAAATTTATGTGCAAATCTATCTTAGTATGAATTTAATGAGGTAGATAGCCGTTGCGTAGTCAGGCTCTTTTTTATGTCATTGTCCATATTTATGTGCAGATTCAAACAATCTATTTTACCATATACCTCCAATAACAGTTCTTTATTCTGTTTGAGGCGGGGTAATTTCAATGTGTCTTCGTCTAAAGGGCTTCAGAACCAGACTTGTTTGATTTGCATGATCATTTAACAAATGATTTTTCAGTGAATCATTTGTACACATACTTATAAATATCATTGTTACATAACTGATATTTAGGCCCCAGTTCCCCCTGATGAACAAACAGTGCAGATAAGCAGTGTGTGTCTGTGTAAGAGCTAGGATGGATGGATTGAGTAGTAGGACTAGTCAGTTATTTGAAAGTTGTAGCTGAACTCTGTGAGCTGAGTAGGTGAAAGGGTTTTTATACACTTTCACAGTAGCAGCCACCTGTTTGATCAAGAGGAACTTGTTGTTATTCCAACCATATACTAGAATGTAGTGGACTGAAAATAATATTCTTTGAGGTGGGGCTGAACAATTTGAGAAAGATATCCAATTGCAGTTCTAACCAATATTGTGACTGTGAATTAAATTGCGATTTTTTATTTATAAATTAATGTCTAGGCCTGCTATTTTTGGCAGTGAAGACCAGCATATCCACTTTTTCCAGCTTGAAGCTTGAACATTAAGCATACTATGCCAGGCTGCCAGTTAGTTTTGGCATTTTGTTGATAATGTAGACTAAAATAAAAATTGCAGCTCCTATGATTTGAAAATTGCACTATTCCAATTTGCTCTTTCGTGATATAAAAACAAAAATCTTTCAAACTTTCAAGGCCAACATACAAAAGACAGCCAATATTTGCTGGACTGCACAGTATGTCACCAAGACATACACTGAAAAAATGAAGTTAAACAAGAACGATACAATAAAACAACAATGTAAGGCATAAAATATGCGGAACAAAATTACATGAGGCAGAAAATGTGTAAGAATCCATCTTGTGTTGTATGCACACTTGACAAAAATACAAACAGTGTATACACAGTATGATGTAACCACTCTGAAAAAAGTAACGTGTTGAATTTACTTGATGTTTACATTGTTGGGTAATTTACCACAGCTAGACCCTTCGACATGATTTCCACATGAATAAAATGTGCTACATCAGAACAATTTTGTATTTCAGTTTATTTATGTTTATCAGTAATTGTGTTGATTTATAGGGAAGAGGGGGCACAAACTAAACTCATCAACCTCATCTGCGGATTTTGACAGCAATCGGACGCATAATTCTCAAGATTCATGCTGACTGTTTTTATACCATAAAAGTAACTTTTTTATCATGTATTTTTGATTACTGAGTTGTGTGTACAAGACACAGAATCTCCTCTTAAAATGTACACATTTGAACTGAATCACTTTTTTCAATGTAGCCACATAACAGCAAATAATAAGAGAAGGTATAGTGTGAAAGCCAAAATTGTGTTATTTCAGTGCGCCAGTGGTACTTTCTCATTTACCTACGTCTGAACCAACCACGATTCGTCCTACATCTTAGACGAATGCACTTTGCATAGGATATATGATGTATTCACTTCTTGGTAAAGAGTGGCTTTAAGAGGCTTATTGGGTTATGTATACTCTCACCCTAATGGACTGGACCATTCCTGGCATACCTTAGTGACCTCTGCGAAACAGAACGAGGTGAGAGTAATGCTTTTCTCTCCATCCACTTCGTCCTTCCCTTGTTCAGACGCCATTAGAGTGACAGTGTGCAGACAATGTGAGGGAGATGGATAACAGACTTATACATACACACACATAACCATGCAGTTCCACACATGACTAGACACACACATAAACGCTTGCACTCTGATTGGGGTGGACTAGCACTACAGAGCAGTTAAGACATTCATGTGAAATACACAGCATTATTGACTCATTAAGTTAGAAGAGCACTCACACCAAAACACAAACACTTTATA